TCCTTACAGTATTTGTCCAGCCAGCAATTGACACCAATTGCCCTGGACAACCATTCATTTCCAACTCCCCTCCTTGGCAAAATACCACATATGAGAGGGTTCCCACCCTTACTTCTAATTATTTCTATTGCTGACCTATACCTGCTAATCAGGTCCTCACTCCTACGTCTGCCAACATCGTTGCCTCCAGCACTGAGACAGATAATAGGATTGCTCCCATTACCTCTCATGATGTCATCCAGACGGCTAACAATATCCTCCATCCCAGTTCCAGGAAAGCAAACTCTCTGTCTCCTACTCCTGTCCTTCAAGCAGAACGCCCTATCCATATATCTAACTTGGCTATCCCCAACAACAACAATATTCGTACCTTCCTTAATGTCTTTCGTCATGACGTTCCCAGTAGTCGACTCACATTCGTCGGGTATCACTGAGAATGTATTAGATGTTTCCACAACAGTTTCCACGGCAGTCTCTTTCTTCTTCATCGTTTCTACCTTTCCATTCGTCTTCTTGATCGTCAACTTCTTTCCCTGCTGTCCAGCCACTGACCAGTTTCCCTTCTTGACCTGAGGACTCAAAACAGGAGGACTACTCCGAATCTTTTTGTTTTCCTCGGTCAGTCGCCGAATTTCCATATTCGCCAACCTCAATTCTTCCTTAAGCTGTTGGTAAAGTTGCTCGATGGAGGGCATCTTGCTTCAATTCTAGAGAGGGCGCAAACAGGTCTTCACAGAGCCAAGTACACGTCAACACTGAGATTAGTGGGATTAGTGTATCGCTACAACGGAGGGATTAGGGATAATGCTGTTGGTAGAGTCGTATTAGAGGAAGGGAGTAGCATGCATAAAGCCCAGTTATATAATACTTCCCATTAGTATACACTTTGAAAAAGCATTTTGATTCATTTAATAAATTGGCAATATAAAATTTACATAACTCAGAGTGAAAAACAATTTTTTTTTAAATCCCAGTGACTGATGCAGTGATTGATCTGAGTCTTACACATCCAAGTTATTTAGCAATTTCATTAAAATTTTTAATTGGCATCTAAATATTCTAAACTCAGACGGTGTCTACCGTCTTATGGAATGTCTCAGCGTTGACATTTAGATGTTTACGCTGAGGCATTCCAAAAGAAATCAATATCTTACGGAGCTCACTAACAAAGTGACCCGTGTTTGACTCGACAACACTTCAGGGCTGAAAATCTGAAGCCAGTTATCGAAGGGAGCTCAAACTCTCTAATTTTATTTTTAAATTTAGGGTACTGCCAAATCTGGCCACAGACAAATTAAGCTTAATGGGAGTTATCCTGTGTGTAAGATTTATCAGCCACTAAATATTGCAGCCATTCAGAAGAGGCTGACTCAGATATATTTAACAAAATTTCCCTCTACTGTACAAATAAAATTAGCAGATGAGCAGTTTCACTCTCCGCCGTCATCAAGTTAGGAGGAGTCTGTCTCCAAGATTCAGGAAGTTATAAGAAACATTTCTAGAGGCTAGGAATGAGTCCTACATCTTTTTCTTAGATTTTTGGCGTATTTATCGAACACCAACAATGATAATTTGAAGCCGATCGGATGAGGAGAATTAGAAACGAAGATCTGGTGGGTAAAAAACCGTCATGCAGCCACTGAAAAGTCCCCCTTCAAGGATACACAGTAATAATAATATATATTTCAGTCACTGTGAGATCTAAGAAACTTATCTTTATACTGGAATAGTGAAGAAAACTTCGTAAGTTTTTGATGCAGTTAAATTATAACCTTAAAAAATACGAAGCAAATCAGAAGACAATTTCGTTAAAGTTATCATAAGAAAAGTAATATAACATTTTCTTCAATTGACATGGCAAATTAGGACATACACAGCCCAAATCTAATTTAAACTTCCCAACAAAGAAAAAAAAAACGCTTTTAGAACATAAAGTTTAAAAGGTATTTTCTTGTTACCAGAGACAAACCAGTATTCCTAAAATATACCAACACGTTCAGCTTGAAGCCGCTCAGAGGTTACATTGTTGGTGCCGCCCTTGTGGACCACAAGCTCTTCTGCAGTGCTGTCTCTTCTCTTCTCCTTACAGTACTTCCATTATTACTACTCTCACTAACACTACTACTACTACTACTACTATACTACTGCTTATTACTACCACTTCTTACCACTACTGCTACTACTACTCCTAGCACTACTACTACTACTATTTACTGCTACTACTACGACTACTACTAATTTCACCACTACTACCACTACTTCTGTCTTTAAACCTCTACCTTCCCTGGATTTCCGGCCTCCCCCCTTCCCTTCGCTCTTCTGTGTGACTAGTTGATGGTCCCAGTCAAACCGTCATAAGTATCATTCTCCTCTGTGCGAGTTATTTGCGTATAGTAGTAGTAGTAGAAGTAGTAATAGCATTAGTAGCAGGTCAAGTCACGGGTGTTCTGAAGACTAAAGTATTTCACAACACAGTGGGAAAGACACGCATCAGCAGAAGCAAAGCTACGATTAAAATTAATGCAAAGAAAGCTATGTCTAACAGCTGATTCAACAATAAGGTGTTGCTGGAGGCTACGGAAGTAGATACCTTCAGCCGAGGTCCAATTAATAGGATAGTGTGATATCTGACGAAGCCATTTTTTTAAGAATGTTGGAATGAGAGCGGCCATGGTTACCAAAGTATTGGAGAGGACAGGAAGAGCAGTAAATGGAGCAGACGCGAAGACGGGAAATTTCTAAGTCAAGAAATTGAAGGGTCACGGATGCAGAGGACACTGAGAAAGAGAGAAACACCAATACATATCTTAAGAAAAAGACCAATATAAGAAAAAGTAGTGAATGTACATTACACTCTATATAGCCAGGCGGTAAACTGAAAAGAAAAGCGTATCACAGATAGGTAGACATGAACATCAAGGAAAGGAGGCAAAGCGTTAGATTCCCCATTCAGCTTTGAAACTCATGGAAGGAGGAAAAATACCAATCATGTGGCTGTAGTACCAAGACATTGGTACGTAGAGAAGCCTGAGACACGAACTTACCCCTATCATAGTAAGTAGAACAGTTCTGAAGTATTCAATATAAAGGTTACCAAGAATATGGGATAGAGGAGAGTCCATAGCAACATCAAATGTTTGAGAATAAAATTTATGTTTAAAGGAAAAAGAGTTAGTGCACACAAAGGCGAATGAGATCAGGAAAGACATCAATAATTATAGGGAGATGAAGCAGCCCTTCACTGGTCTTCACTCTGAGAAAACTGAGTACATCCTCAAGAGTAACATTCGTGAAGGGAGACTCAAAGTCAGTACCGAGCATTTTATAAGACGGATGTGGCCAGAGAAGTGAGTGTTCTGCCCAGCCAGGAGGATGCAGAATAAGAGAAAAAAACTGTAGAAGAAATTATGAAACGACAAAGAATAACTCCCTATTTGTCTTTGTCAGAAGGAAATATAACAATATTAGTAATGGATCTAAGATAAGTAAGGGCAAGCTGATAGTAATGAAGGTGATGATTCTTAGAAAAAAAAGCTATCAAAATCTGGAATGACAGCACCATGAACAGCAAAAAAATGCCAGACATAGCCCGAGAGTCAGGCTGGGGGAAAATAATTAAAGCGACATGTCAGATCAATGACAGTACGAAGAGAAGGTGAAGTGACAAAGTCCAAGAATGCTGGGAAAAGTGTGACAGACGAAATATTAGTAACAAAGTCAGGGAGAGAGAATTTAGACCCGGGGCTGTGGAAGATAAAACTGTGTACTTTGATCTGTAAGGCCCAAGAGACGGGAAAATAGAACAATTTGACGCTGACAGGTTGACAGAGGATGAAGAAAGCGTCGTTAACGTGAAACTTAGTAGAAAGTATAAACAACTGAAGTATGAGGCGGGCATGACCAGGAAAGGGAGTGGCCAAGAAATTGAATTTGAGGAAATGGGAGAAGGAATAGGGAAAGACTTCTTTAGCAAAACAGTCATTGAGAAAATGAAGATGGAAGAAATAAAAACACTTTCTTAAACGTCTCATTATTTTCTCTGATGGTTCTATTTCTTAATCTCTCACCTCGTGGCTGGCCAAAACTCTCACTCCTTTCCTTGGCTCTTTCACCCTTTCTCACCTCCGTCACTCTCAGGACTTCATCGAGCGTCATCAACAATGTCTTCACTAATGTTCCTATTGATGACGTTCTCAGTTTTATCAGTTAGAGATGTTACTGTGAGACTCATCTTTATATACATACAGTTTATTTTTTATTGTTTGATTTATATAGTGTCACAAATTAAGGAAACTGACTGGAGACGAGTGTCAGTCATCTCTAGACAACCATTGCTCTACCTTAGGACGTGTTGCATCACTGAGAGTGAGTGATGAATGGTTTTGAAAACCGACAAGTTGAAGAATTGAGACACTTATGCAGCACATAGGAATCTTTATTGAAGAAACGCTTCGCCACACAGTGACTTCATCAGTCCTATACAGAGCAGGAAGATATAAGGATAGGAGGAGTTTGAGGTAATCAGTCCCTCAGCCTGGAGTCGATGTGTTCAGTCCATCAATCTTGTAGAATGTACAGCATAGGGCCGTAGACGTGGCTTTTATACAGTATATACAGTATATAAGCCAGGTCTACGGCCCTATGCTGTACATTCTACAAGATTGATGGACTGAACACATCGACTCCAGGCTGAGGGACTGATTACCTCAAACTCCTCCTATCCTTATATCTTCCTGCTCTGTATAGGACTGATGAAGTCACTGTGTGGCGAAGCGTTTCTTCAATAAAGATTCCCATATGTTGCATAAGCTTCTCAATTCATCACTGAGAGTGATGAACTGAAATAATATCCCACTAACTGCTACATTGTTTTATAGTGCAATGTTTACAATGTAACCGAAATTAAAATGATAAAGCATAATGAAGGGGAGGCTATAGGAGAAAATAACGGTGAAAGTGAAGCTATCAGAGACAATAACAGAACAAAATCATAACCTTACAATGTACGGTGAGAGTAACGTTGGTGGTGAGTGATTGTTCTGACAGATGACTGTTGACGCGACATTCATACACCGCCCCGTCCTCCTCACGCGTCGCTCTCACTAGTTGCTTCACCCTCACTTCTTCCTCCTCCAGTCTCCTGCTGGTAACTCTTGGCGAGGTCAGGGAGACAGCAAGTGTATCTCTCATCATAGAAGTGAGGTTGATGGGTCGACCGTGTCTGTACCAGGTGACCCAAGGGTGTGGGTGTCCACCCATTACCTGACAGGTGAGAACTCGGCTCTCGCCCTCCCTCAGCACCTCACCTGTCATGTACCCGCTGATAACTGGGCGCCCAGGTGTTTCTGCAGAGGAACATACTGTTAAAATTAATGTAAAACCAACGACTGAATGGTGAGTTCTGTTAACTGCTTTGCTGAAAGCAGAAACACACAAATTTCAATCTCCACTAGGGAGACCACAACACAACAGACTACCCCTCGAGTCCTCCTTCTCTTACAAAAATAAAACACTTATATGTCAAATGTTATTTAGTGTTTTATACCATTATAAATTAAAAGACTGAAGCTACAACTGTTCCCTTTGAGTGAGATGACAATCATTAACCTCACATGAATAACTTATGATTCGCGATATATTAATAACAGAATTGTGAACTGTAACTCAAAGATCAGCCAGGAGTCAAGGCCGTATCAACTTAGTCCCAAAACTAACAGGTTAATACAATGACTAGCTTATGTTAGGTAAAAGAGCACAAGTGTAACTAATGTGATATTTTATTGAGGCAAAGTTTCGCTCTCCAGGAGCTTTGTCAAGCCGAAATACTGAGACTCTGAGAGGTATATATATGGGTACAAAGTGAGGTGCAAAATATAATATAATCGTTGAGGTAGTAGTAGTAGTAGTAATACTTATTGTAGTAGTAGTACGTGCTGTAGTAGTAGTAGTACTTGTTGTAGTAGTAGCAGTAGTAGTATTTGTTGTAGTAGTCGTAGTACTCGTGGTTATGGTACTAGTAGTAGTGGTAGCAGCTATGTGATGGTGGGGTTTATTGATTTGAGGAGAATTCTTGCTGCCTTTATGAAGCTGCCTTTATTCTCTTTGTGTTAGAAGTAGCAATTAATGATGATTCAAGGCATTTACGTCTACGGAAATTGGGTTCTTTAATCACTATGTGGGCGTCGTTGAATTTCACCAGGTGTCTGACGGAGTTCCAGTGTTGTATGCAGGCACTGCTCAAATTGCCGCTCCTACATGCATTAATGTGTTCACTGACAAATGTTTTGAGGTTTCTTGCTGTTTCACCTATGTATATACTGTCACAACCTCCACAGGGAATAGTATAAACCCCAGATCTTTTATGGAAGTACAAGTTACGATTGAAACTCTAGTGTTACCTTGTGTGAGCGCTTTAGAAATATTCAGTATAACCCGGCTGTAAGGAAGGATTATAACATTGTTAGCAGTGATGTTTGTGCGGGGAGAATTGATGATCTGATTTTTTTTTCTTTTGCAGCCGAGGATGAAAAAGAAAGGGAAATGTAGATCAGTAAATGTCTGGTGTATGTATGTACATTCTTCTTCCTCCTGGACTGCAAATTCGGTATGCTCTTAGGAAAAATCCAATGATTATGCGTCTTTTGGTCTTAGTATAGTTCAATCAGGTCAATGAAATCTCCGGGAGGTAGAGGATGATTAAGAAGGGAGAGATTTATCATTATCCACACTTGGAAAATCCTGGAAGGAATGGTCCCAAATCTGTACACAGAAATCACTCCCTACGAAAGTAAAAGACTGGGCAGGCGATGCAAAATGCCCCCAATTAAAAATAGGGACGCCATTGGTACACTAAGAGAAAACACCATAAGTGTTCGGGGCCCAAGACTGTTCAACAGCCTCCCATCAAGCATTAGGGGAATTACCAATAAACCCCTGGCTGCCTTCAAGAGAGAGCTGGACAGATATCTAAAGTCAGTGCCGGATCAGCCGGGCTGTGGCTCGTACGTTGGACTGCGTGCGGCCAGAAGTAACAGCCTGGTTGATCAGGCCCTGATCCACCGGGAGGCCTGGTCATGGACCGGGCCGCGGGGGCGTTGATCCCCGGAATAACCTCCAGGTAACCTCCAGGTAACCAAGTAAGGTCCTGATTGACTTTACGTCGTAGAACGTCAGTGGCTTGTGTTCAACGTAAAATCAATCAAGACCTTAATCTTCCTCTACCTCCTGGAGATTTCGTTAACCTGATTGAACTCTGCATTAATTTCAACTGCTTTTCTTTCAATAACAGGCTCTACAAACAAACCTATGGTATGGAAATGGGGTCCCCCATCAGCGCCGTCTTAGCCAACTTGTATATGGAGCACCTGGAAGCTGAACACTTCACCAACTTGTATATGGAGCACCTGGAAGCTGAACACTTCACCAACTTGTATATGGAGCACCTGGAAGCTGAACACTTCACCAACTTGTATATGGAGCACCTGGAAGCTGAACACTTCACCAACTTGTATATGGAGCAACTGGAAGCTGAACACTTCACCAACTTGTATATGGAGCACCTGGAAGCTGAACACTTCACCAACTTGTATATGGAGCACCTGGAAGCTGAACACTTCACCAACTTGTATATGGAGCACCTGGAAGCTGAACACTTCACCAAATTCATCCCCACCAGCGTCACTTGGTTATGTTACGTGAACGACGTCTTCATAATAACTCCCAATATTTTGATGTGCGGAATCTTCAGGGAAGTCTCAACCCAGTTGAACCGGCTATCCAGTTTACACTAGAAGAAGAGCCCAATGACAAGTTATCTTTTCTAGACGTCCTTATTAACAAGGCAGAAAACACTCTAAGGTTTCAAGTTTACAGGAAACCTACAAATGAAAATGATCTCACACACTTCTATTTGGAAGGTATTCAGGCTTAATTCAAGGAACTGGAGCACAGATCCAGTTCATTAGATCAAGAGCCCCTCACCAGCGTCAAGGAACCTGCCTCGAGGGGACATATATTTACAGTAATTGAGTGTTTAATTTGAAGAGTCGAGATGTGTCTGCCGATGTCACAGTGTTGCTTCACGTTGATAGAGGTAATGCGTGGGGAGGTGCGGGTGGCTCTGTATGTCCGAGAAAACTTGAATTACTGCAGGCTCAAAGTGTATGTCTGGGTAGAATTCTCGGAGAGGCATGACAGATTAATTTTAGGCGAGACGTACCGTCGAGGGACCAAGGGAGACTACTCTGGAAGAAATTCTTACGGCTACGAGGCATAATATCTTAGTAATTCTACGAGACTTTAAGTTTAGTCGGATTGATTGAATTCCTTGTCTTGGAATGTAGAGTCTTAGAGGAAATTCAAAATTGTTTATTGAAGCAGTTTGTGACGGTATTGAAAACAAGGATTTTCTTGCTAATGATTTAGAAATTACAAAGGAATCTGGCACGAGCGACAACAAATCGATTAACTTTATAATTGAATGGAAAACTGATAGAATGGATAATTCAGTAACAGTCGATTTTCGCTTAGCAGATTACAGTGGGCTTAGAGAACACCTGCCATGTTGATAAATTAGACACATGTGCAACACTTGGGTATCTTTAATGAGGAAACCTTTCGTCACACAGTGGCTTCATCAGTCTATACAAAGGACAATGGTGAAGAACAAGAGTTTTCAGGTAGTCAGTCCCTCAGCCTTGAGTCGGTTCTCTGAACCATTCATCTACATTCCTGTCAGACACCGAAAACCTTTCGGATTAGCGTCTGAATCTTTAGCAATTTAGGCTAAACAGGACTACGAAATTTTCTGATCTCTTTTTTAACCTTTCTAATGTGAATGTATTGAATCATGAGATATTTCTCACCTCTTTTGATTCGTTTATAAATTCCTTCTCTCCTAAAAGATGTTTGAGCTTCCCTTTCTTCCATTTCGGATTTTTTATATTCAGTCTTATTTCTCTACTGTGTCCCGTAGTTCGGTTGGTAATGCACTCAGCTCACGCCTTCAGAGTACGAGGTTTGATCCCCTGTACGGGGGAGGGAAACTTTGTGCATGTTTCCTTAAGACACATGCTATTCCTGTTCAACTAGCAGTAAGTAGGTATCTGGGTGTCAGCCTACTGGTGTGGGTCACATCCTGGGGACAAAATTAGCTTAACTTGCCTGAAATGCTCTACATAACAAGGGACTTTCTATAAAGTATGTCACTGATGTCACCTATGGTCTGTAAAAGTGGTATCTTGTACTTATAGAAATAAAGATACATTATTAATTTTACTATAGGGAATAATTTTTTTTTTTTGGGGGGGGGGCAGTATGTATAGTGTTCAGAAAACTGTAAGTAAGTAAGTAAGTAAGTAAGTAAGTAAGTAAGTATATTCAGGTATACACAAATACAGTTACATAGAATTATCATACATAGCAGCATGTGTGTAGAGAACCTGGGATAACCCAAAAAAGTCAGACAGAGTGACTTATTTCCATTGGGGTTCAGATAGTTCTCTTAGTTACTCCTGTCTACACATATGTGTACTCCAAGCACATTGTTGTCTGCTAAACGAAAATTTAGGATCATTGCTGAATTATCCTTACATACATACTCTCATTCAGTGTTAAATGTTTTAGATTTGTAGTCGCTCGTGGCAAATTCCTCTGTATTCTCTAAATTATTAACACGGGTTACCTTGTTTACCAGAACTAAATCACTCGTTATTTTCCCTCGGTTCTGCCACAAATTGTTTCAAGAGTGTTGAATTACTTCGAGGAAGTCGTTTGACTTAAGATTCCCAGCCAAAGAATTCCAGTGAATATGACTAAAGTTAAAGTACTCAAGAATAACTTCTCAAGAATAACATTGAACATTGTTCAGGACAATGAAGCAGAATGTTTATCATGGCTGAGGAAATAACCACCTCCAAACTACTTCTTCGATACTAATAGACTTATCATATCTGTATTTCTCCACTCCTCCTCCTGTCTCCATATTTAGTTACGCTTATTCACATGAAAATGCCTACTCTGTGGGTGAACCGTTTTGGAAATAAGATGAGTAAGTACCGCGAACGCGTCTAATTCTTCTGTCTGTCGGAACTATATACCAAGCTCCACAACTTTCCAATAAAAAATAAAAAATTGCAATATCCCTGGTTACAATTCCATTTTATAAAGTCCTTGACTTAATTTGTAAAGGGTATAATTATTATGTTAAGTAACCGCTAACTCAATAAATTTTTGACTGACGAACTTTAAGGTATAATAACAGGAGCACCAAATCAATGTGCTGGGTGGTTGCAAGTTCTGAGATAACTCAATTTAACATTTTATTCCGGCGTGCATGGTGTCTTCACCA